CAGCCCAAATTCCACAACCCTGTGTGAATTCCGGGCAGGGCTGCCAGAAGGATTTTTATCGAAACCCAAACTAGAGCCGACCAAAAAACCCAGCAACACACAAGCAAAAAACAAAAACCCTAGAATTATAAAAAGTAAAAATTGTATTGTTACGAAACGAACAATTTATCCATATTTGTATAAGTTATATTAAAAAAATAAGATTCCAACATCTGAACCCAAGGCGTCATATAAAAACCCAGATCTTAAAAAGGGGTGGGGGGGGGGGGGAACCAGGTATCGGCAGCCCCTGATTCCGGAGCTCTATTTTCAAGAACAAAGAACAGACCCACTGGCTCCCCTAACAAGCATATCGCAAGATCCCTTTTTAAAGGACCCTCTTCCACGCCTTCAGGCGTATTGGGCATATAGGGCTAGACCTATATTTTTTAGACCAGTTGACACCAGTTGTCTTAGGGGATCGGCATTCACGCATATCGCAGGAGGTGCGACTAATTATGGGTGTTCCATTTAAAGTCGGAGTGCATTTGCATGAGAAGCACATAACCAACAGTGTGCATAGAGATACTTTTGAACTGTAAAACGGACGTGCTCGCAAAACTCGCATGCTGAATCAGTACCAAAGTGCAGAGGTGGGCGAACAACCAGAACTTTCCAACGTAGTTTACAGTCAGTGAACACTAAAAAAGGGGCAAGCTTGAAGATGGTTGAGAAAAAAAGTGCCCATATCATATTAAAATGTGTGCAGGTGTGTTAGTTCAATCGACAGATCAACAGAGCACAAGGGTAGTAACCCCTAAGTGCTCCATTCTATTTCTAACTCAAGCCTGGGTCCGAAGAATGTCAGTGCAGTGCACGAACTCTGTATCACCGGCGTGGAATCTGAACTACTTTGGGTAGATTTTTAACTCAGAAGTGAGGTTTGGGGTTTGAACAACGGATCAACATAGCACAAGCGTAGTAACCCATAAGTGCCCTATTCTTTTTCTAACTCAAGCTTGGGTCTGAAGAAGTTCAGCATCGTGCACAGACTCTGTAGCACCGGTGAGGATCCTGTAGATTTTTAACTCAAAATTTTGCCCGGACAATGCCGTTAGGTTACTCTTTTTCAAATTCCAACTGCCAAGACATTTTTTTCGTGAACAACAATACACTCGGGCGTCCGATCTTACTACCCAGTGACCAGGGGAAATTACTAGAAGTCCACGTGAAAAAACTCACAGCCTTCACTGGGGCAAGAACCCGGGACGCCAGGTCTCGAGACCACGCAGCCCCCTGTGTGTCGTTTCCGCCGTTAACGCTAATTCCCGCAACAGGTGGCCCTGTGTCGACAACATTGTCGAGCCTGCTGTGTGTTAAGTGCTGTGTAACGTAAGACGGCTCTGTGGCTGTATGTCTGTCTACGTGGACAGCCGATGTAATTGATACCTTGGGGAAACCCTAGAGGGCACCAGAGTAAATCAACTATAGTGCGTAGGGGGTGAAAACACATTTTTAAAAGAGGAAGGGGCGGTTAGTTTGACGTCAGTCTCCCCAAATAGAGTAGGTCACTTTTCATTCACAAGTTTGTTGGGCTGGTCGAATTTCCTGCAGGTTACAGGTGTTCCGCTCTGTTGTTTGGTTTCTGTGATGTCTTGCATTTACGTTTTTATTCCGAGAAGGACATAGGTTGCAGCACTCTCTTCTGGGGTCTGTGCTAGACCCAGTTTCTCCATGTTTTAGAGTGTTAAAAGCGCTGGTGTGTTGAAATATACAACTCGCAATATCAGCGGCATTGCGGAACACTCCTGTAACCTTGTGCGAAGACTGCGGGGCTCAGGAACTACCAATCAGAAGTGTGCTAGTGTTTAAATGGGCGGGGTCTGGGGAGACTAACATTACTTTTACCAAATAAACTATAGTGCGTAGGAGGAGAAAAAATTTAAGAGAGGAAGGGGCTCCTTTCGCACGAGCGGCGCGTCGGACATTGTGTACGATAGATACCAATCGGCAAACCATAATTGACGTGGTCATCATAGACCCTGGTCGTTTCTTTTTTTTTTTTTGTTTGTTGGCGGGGGGGGGGGGGGTCCTCATTTTAAAGTGGGTTGACATAGAAGCCAAAGTCACTTTTTTTCATTCCACCTAATACCTTGGGGTCGGCGGACAAGCATCTAGGTGCTAAGACCCCGTGGACGGAGGGGGTGCGCTATAACTCTGACAGGCTTGAAGCAAGTATCCTCTCCTGTTGTCCAGGCAGTCCTTGGTTCCTAACATGACATACTTTAGATCTACTGAAGTCGGTCATGGTTTATAAACATCATTATCCCCGTATATCTTCCCGGACCCCGTGTGGAGAGATAGACAGACCCATGCTTAGCAGAGCGTTTTCTGTCTAAGATGCCAGGAACCAACAGTCTGCTTTCAAAGAAACCAGATCTGTAAAAAGTTCTGGAGCAAGACCGAAGTCCAGAAGTGAAACCTATCACCAACTGCCCTGTTTCTCTCTCTCTCTCTCTCTCTCTCTCTCTCTCTCTCTCTCTCTCTCTCTCTCTCTCTCTCTCTCTCCGCTTCACACTTCTCCTTTATCTGCTCGCCTTTTTTTTAAACTGAGACGTTCTTGCATAGGGCTGTCAACACGGATTCCCTCCCCCACCCCAAGATGTGGGGGTTTTTTTTTTTTTTTTGGACGCCTTGGGTTCAGATTTAAGATTTTTTTTTTAAAATTTCAATTATTAAATATCCTTAAGTAAAAAGTGGATAAAGGTTTCTTTTCGTTACTATAAATGTGTATTGCCTATGTATTGGGTTTTCGGTCAGCTTAGCTTGGGTTTTGATAAACATCTCATTGGCAGCCCTGCCTAGCCGTTGACCTCACGGGCGTTCGTTTAGTCATGAGTGTGGTTTTTACGGGGGTCCATCATTGCTGGAGCTAAGTAGTTCGCTCTGTCATGTGTAGGAGGCTGGCTATTCTGCGAAGAGATACTTGAAGGGGAGAACCAAGGGCGGTGTAGTTGATCCTCTTAGCTTTTAACTTTCTCTTTGTCGCGGCTCTTAGTTCTGTTCAGGAAGGTTTAATGGCGCAGTTCAACTAATATGGTGTCTTTGAAGTGGAGGCTTGTCCTAGTTACCTGTATACTGTTAACTCTTAGCTGCCATTTTACTGTACTAATCTGTTTGAACTCGGGGCTTGCCTTAGTTACATTATATACTGTTAACTCTAAACAGTCATGTTGCCCTTCTGCTTTAAAATGTGTTTGAACTGGAGGCTTGTCCTAGTTACCTGTATACTGTTACCTCTTAGCTGTCATTCTACTGTTATAATCTGTTTGAACTCAGGGCTAGTCTTATTTACCTTATATACTGTTAACTCTTAGCAGTCCTGTTGCCATACTCTATCTCACACAGTGCCAAGCAGCTCACCATGAGTTTTTAAAATTTCTGCTTACATTATACCTTTTCATTAACTAATCATAAAACACCAGTTGTTACACACATACACACACACACACACACCCCACTGCAGTTGTTAACCCTTTCTTTCCACATTGTGAAGGTCATGCTGGTGTTAAACGTAATGAGTGTGCAGACCAACTGGCTTTCAGTGCACCAAAACATGTGGGAAGAAGCATGGTCATAGCAAATATCATCAGTACTGTCAACAGTGTTAACTGTATTACCCATGTGTCAGATCTTAGAAACACCCAAATTCCAGATACAGATGATCGGATGAGATATTTTATTTTGCTCAACTTCATCCCAACTTCATACATTTGGCAATATGTGCTGCACTTTCATTATTAAGCGGAATGTCAAGATTATTATTGTCACAATCTGGCTCTGATTGTCAGCGACAGCAGTATAGACATTTCTAGATCTAGTTGTGTTATTGTTCTGGTTTCCCTTATCATTTGGTCTGGTGTGTTTTGCAGTAAATGGTTGGAATTCACAATTAGCATGGTTATTTTCAGAATCTGAGTAATCACTAGAATCATTTTTTCATCTCAACAACAGTTGCATAAGAACTAAAGCCTGAGTTTTGGTCATTTTTTTGAGCTCTCTCTACAGTGGCTGTTGAAGGGTTGAATGTTGCCATTTTAGGACAGTTAGATAAAAATCATATCTCACTAATTTAATTTAAAACAAATTGTAACAAAATGATTCTTTTCCATTGCCTACACTGCTTCTTCTTTTTAATTCTTTGAGGCCCGGGGGTTTAGCATCACAGGCCCAAGGGGTAGTCAAGAGAGACGTACAATCAGCGCATCATGCATTCACTGGGTCTCTAGGTAGGAATCTATGAACGTATGATGCGCTCCTTGTTACTCTAAGAGTTGCATTCCGAGCCCTTGAGGTTCATTGCTGCAGATATCACCCATTTCCATTCTTCAGTCTGGTTGGCCTTCTCTTTCCAGTTGGTCACCTAGTGTTTGCAGGTCTGTCTGGATATTATCTCTCCATCGTCTTCTTGGTCTCCCTCGTGTATACAGTTTTTACTTCTCTGTCATCTGACATTCTTTCAATATGCACCAACCGTTTCAGTCTATTAGCTCTTATGATGCGTTATCAGTGGCGATTTAAACAGACTATGAATTTCGTTGTTGCTTCTCACTCTCCATTCACTGCTGTTTGCATCTTTGATGGGTCCTAAGATTCGTTGTAAAACTATGTTTTCGATTGCCTACTTTCAGAAAACGAAAGTCCTTTTGTTTCGCTATTTCTAGTTTTTCAAAAGAAGTTCACACACATTCATCTAATTAGCAAATGAAGCAATATTCGAGTGTCTGTGTCGACAACCATTAAATCAACTATGTGTCTAAACCTCGCAGATTCTGCCGCCGATTGATCGGCGATATGTCTGGAAAGAGATAACAATATTGACAGGTTAAAAGACATTGTTATTGCAATTTTTATCACACTTTTAAGGTTTTAATTTGAGAAGGCCCTTATATAGTGCTAAAGTAAATAAATGATTGGAAAGTGGTTAAGAAATGAATGAATGTGTTTTCTTCCTGTTGCAGTAAGTGTCAGCAGAGTGGAGGACATCACTGGAAAGAAAGTGCCAGCCCATCAGGTTGATTTACTGGACAAAAGTGCCATCAGAGATGTCTTTCAGAAGGTATGTACATTAGAGTATTACTTGGCTATCCTCAGAATAACAGTCTGAAATTATACCATAACAGGACCTATATCCGGATACTATACCGCCGCCACTGAGAGTATCTCCCGCGCCGCTACGTGCAGCGCAGAATGGGGGCTAAACTAGGTGGCTGGGACTCACGAGCAAATAAAATGAAGGAAGCTGCAGAATATGCAGTAGCTGCTGCTCGTGAGTCCCAGCCATCTAGTTTAGCCCCGCTCTGCGCGCAGCGGGAGATACTCTCGGCGGTGACTTTAACTCGGCGGAAGCTTTTCCGCGGTATGCTGTGTAGTCGCCGGAAAGAGGTCCACAATTTATATGTGACTGTAGGGTATATTTTCGGCCTTGATAATTTGGGACTGTTATTCGGAGGATAGCCCAGTACTTACTCTTGGACTTTAAGATTTGTTATTCACGTTTTGAGTTCAAAGGCCCAAGGGGGGGGGGGGGAATAGACCCACTGCCACTCAACAAGCATATAAATGAATACAAAAGGTGATTCAGGAAGAATTTTCTGAAAATATATGTATTGGGCCGAAAGGTTTTGAACCTTTAATTCACTGGGCCAGCAGGGAGGATTGAGCAGCATGTGTTACCCTGTACGTCTCAACATGGAAGCTGAAGATTGACCAGTTGTAATAACAGATGTGTGATTTGTGTATTTCACAAATTTGCTGCTTTGTTATCTGTTGACGTAAACTCTAGAATACACCTGACAAGATACAGGAAAATATGCCCCACAGTAATAAATTGTGCAACATATTGCGTTCCCATTATTTAAACGCACAAAGGAAAACTTGCCATATTTTTATGTGTTCAGGATTCCCTCATCTCCTCCCCCCCCCCCCCCCCTTTTCCACCCTTGCACATGGAACAACCCACACCAAGATCCCCCTCCCCTCCATGTATAAGCTGACATCTTTCCTGTTTGGGTTCCGGTGCCCCACTGCTCTCCTAGCAAGCACACTTTAAGCTGGTTCTTTAAAAGTCCGAGTGCATCTGCTTGAGAGGCAAGGAACCAGCAGAGTGCATACAAATAAGTTAAATCTGTAACACAGATGTGCATGCAAAACTTAGGTTCTGGAGCAGAAGTGGACAAACAGAACCAGTACATTCTGCCAGAGTTTACAGGCGGTCAACACAAAGAAGAAGGAGATGAACTCTTTTTTTTAGTCTAAAATTAAGAAATTCATATTTTAAATACACTCCATGTATAAGACAACTCCCAATTTCAGACTTCAACATTTTGGGAGAACATTGTCTCTCACACACAAAAATAAAATATCTTCTTTAGCCAAATGATTAAGTGACTGTTTTCTGTTTCCACAGTATAAGATTTCTATTGTGATGCATTTTGCTGGACTGAAAGCTGTAGGAGAGTCTGTGGCCCTTCCCCTCTTGTATTACCACAATAACATTGGAGGCACAGTAAACTTGTTAGAGGTAAGTGTGTACTTTCATCTTGTTTAGTTTAGTGTCCGTTAACCTGCGGGCCATGGAAAAATCCATCTAGGCCACCCAAAATGAATGCCTTCTTCTTCTTCGGTATTTCTGTCAGAAAACTTATATCAGGAGGCCAGTAGCCTTGATGAAAGCTATCGTGCACTCCATATCTTCTCATGTACCATAAAGCTTTGTCTTCATTGTGGTTGAAACAGGCCAGATTGTGTGTCTGTTGTCAGCATACAGTGTTGGAGCACATATTCAGCATTTTCGGGTGCCACGCTGCAGGGATGGGTCTCCGTGTTTCCTACACTGAAAAGTTTGAACATATGTTGACACAGTCTTTTGTGGCCAGTCCTTAGTCTGAATATAATACACTGACCCTGTCTAGAGAGGCGATGAAGCAAGTCTTGGAGAGAGAATCTGGTGTGTATCCAGCCACCTTTCTTGGATACTAGATTGTATTAATGCCTAATCTGGTGTGTTTATCCAGCCACCTTTCTTGGATACTAGATTGTATTAATGCCTAATCTGGTGTGTTTATCCAGCCACCTTTCTTGGATACTAGATTGTAATAATGCCTAATCATGTAGTGAGTTATGGTAGGTAGTTTTTCTCCGACAGAATTAAAATCTGTAGGATCGACACCTCAGGTATGAGAATCAAAAAATGTCCTATCAGCTGAGAATGATAGTTTTGTGACATGTATTTAACAAAGAGGAGCGGCTGGTTAAACAATTAGAACGCTGGGCTCTTAAGCAGGAGACCCTGGTTCAAATCCTCTGTATGACTGGGGATTTTTGTATGTCGAGGCAAAATAAAAATCCTCACCTGCACGGTCGTGATGACAGCACTAGCCTTAAATACAGCAAAATTGGTACAATAAAGGCTCTAATTGGCAGTATTTAACCAATAATCTGCTGTCTATGTTTATTTTTGTTTCTGTTTTTTGTTAGCTGTGTAGAGGGGTATGAAACAATTTCTCCTGTTTTTGTGGGCAGCAGGTGTTTAAAAAAAAAACGCTGTGAAAAATGGGTCTAGTTGATTTCACATGAACTTGTTCTTATTCCTTCAGCAGGAAACGCTTGTTATTTGAAGATTTAACCATTTTATCGCAAGAAGACTCAAATCTAGTCACTCCTGGTTGTGCCATGTCCCCCTAAATGTGGATATGTACAGTAATTTAAAAATTATGCTCCAATATTTTAAGCTCTTAGCTCCTAACTCTTTCACTCCCAAGCCACACGTCATGTGTTTGTTGATTTATATTATTTTCTTCTTGTTTACCGTCTGTAAACTCGGGCATAAAGTTCTAGTGGTTTGTCCACTTCTAGACTTGGTCATCTTCCAGAACCTGAGTTGAGTTGAGTCAAGAATTGACATCACAGCCCTCGGGGCACTCCCATGCATGCTCCGTTCTCATCTTCAGCAGCCAGCGCAGAGTTCCAATACTGATGGTACCAATTACAATCTGGTTAAAAGTCTGTCTTGCCTTTCCTTTGATTGTAGTGAGCCAGCAAGACCCTCTGGTTACACCCAGGTGCCTCATTCTCTCCAGGCCATAATAATCTTCTTTCTCTACTGATTCCTTAGCTTGTTCACAAAGGGCCTTACCACATCTGCCTTGTCATGTATCATTTCACCACCCAGTGGTGCAGATCCATCCAATCTGTCTGCCTGTTCATTACCCACCACGCCGGCATGGCCTGGAGTAAAGATCCAAAGTATGCTCACCACCCATGACCTTTCCAGTCAGAACCTAGAATCAAGTCTAGTTATTGATGTGCTCCATTTTGCATAAAATGTTTACTTGAAACTATCCTCAGGTTATGAAAGAATTTGATGTAAAAAACATCATTTTCTCAAGCTCGGCTACAGTGTATGGCTCACCACAATATTTACCTGTTGACGAGAATCATCCTATTGGAGGTTGCACAAATGCCTATGGGAAAACCAAGTATTTCATTGAAGAAATTATACGAGATGTATGCAATGCAGATAAGGTATGAAGTATTATTTTATCATTTTTTTTTAATCTGGGAGAGCAGCCTAGATTAAGTCGAGTGAAGGTCAAGAGGATCAACTTCTTTGCACTGGGTTGTCCCATATTTTTCAGTTTATCAGCAGAACAGCTAGCTGCCGGCTGTGAGCGTTGCACAAAGCACGGACTCCGTAGCTCCATTGATGGTCCCCAGGATCTCCATAAAAACTGCAGTCAAGAATTGAACGTGTCTGTGGAACGAACCCTTGACCATCAGAACATGAGGTGAACGACTCCCTCCAGGAGAGTAGCCTGAAATACTGAAACACAGTGACTCAAAAAGCCACTGGTTGAATGTCTTCTTCTTCACTGCCTGTAAACTCCAGTGGAAAGTTCTGGTTAGTTTGTCCACTTCTGGACTCTAATCCAGTTACAGAACCTAAGTGTTGCATGCACATCTGTTTTACAGTTCTGACTCATGTGCATGTAGACTGTTGGTTCCTGCCTCTCAGGCAGATGCACTCCGACTCTGAAGGAAGCTAACAGTTAGTCGACTCTTATGACATGCTCTTGGGTAGGCATTAGGTCTGTTCTTGATTTCCCCACATGTGAACCCCAGAACCCACACGGGGAACTTGTTGGATGTGAATTCACTGAGCAAATCACAGAATATTGGTGTCCTAAAAGTTATGAAGTAACTATCTGTCCAGTGTTGGATTGGAGATCACATGTACTGTGTGATTTTAGAACAAGTGCCTTGAGGGATCTTGTCTATTTTTTCCTTAGGAAAAAAACTTTTTTACAGGTTTAAAAATAATTGCACAAAATCAATTTGTCACCACAAACGCATGCATATTATAAAGTGTAAGAAGTAATCAACACAAACAGTGCAACATGGAATCATCCGACTCACATTTCTCCTAGACTGTAAACTAATTTTAGCATGACATGTGTCCACTGTAACCAGTGGAGAAAAGTAACTAGAAATTTCTATAAATTAAGCCATTTTATTTAAAGGGGACACACACATGTGCGAGCCCGATCAACCCCCATGATATTTTAAGTAAGTTTAGTCATCCCTTGTCATGTTGAATCTTTGCACAGACACAGATGCAAAGAATTCTGTTAGCTAGACGTCTTATAAACATGCAATTCGGGAAAGCGTGTTTTGCTGGAAAATGTTTTCTAACCGGAAGTGTCAGCTTTGTGACTTCTCAAGAGGAAAGGGTTGTTGAGTTTATAAAACAACTGACAAAGACAGGAAGAGTCAAAAGTGTGCTTTGTTTTTTGCAGACATGGAAAGGCATACTGCTGCGATATTTCAACCCAGTCGGTGCCCACAAGTCTGGCAAGATTGGGGAAAACCCACAGGGGGTCCCCAACAACTTGATGCCATTTATAGCTCAGGTTGCTGTGGGGAGACGGGAGTATCTGACAGTTTACGGAGATGATTACGACACTCCCGACGGCACAGGTAAGTGAATCCTCGTGTTGATGAGTATATTTAATCCCCATAAAAAGATATTAGAGCACACGAGAAGTAGAACTAGACTTGTTTCACATTATCACAATCAAGAATGACAAGTGAGTGTTGCTGCTAGAAAGCATTCATCAGCATATAACACCTGAACAAGGGTTTAGTTAAAATAAGAATGCTCCAAATCGCTTATCTCTGAGTTGAGGTTTCATAGAAATATTCATTCACAGAAGAACAATTAATTCGTATTAAGAATACATTGCTTTCAGTCCCAGAAGTGTGTTACTGACAAATTTTTTTTTTAATGGAGTGTTGCCAGCTCATTTGTTGTAATGTTGGTGACTTATTTGTTGATGCAAGCTGCTGACTCATTTATCGTAGAATATTGCTGACACATTATTTGTAAATTTTTTATAGCGTTGCTGACTCATTTGTTGATGCAGGTTACTGACACATTTGTTGTAGAGTGTTGCTCATTTGTTGTAGAGTGTTGCTGACTCGTTTGCTGTAGAGTGTTGCTGACTCATTTGTTGTAGTGTGTTGCTGACTCATTTGTTGTAGAGTGTTGCTCATTTGTTGTAGAGTGTTGCTGACTGATTTGTTGTAGAGTGTTGCTGACTCATTTGTTGTAGAGTATTGCTGACTCATTTGTTCAAGAATGCAACTGACTCATTTGCTGTAGTCTTACTGACTCATTTGTTACTTTTCCAGGTGTCAGAGACTACATCCATATAGTGGACTTAGCTAAAGGTCATGTGGCAGCTATAGACAAGCTGAAGAGGGACTGTGGATGTGTGGTAAGCTTATGTGTGTTTTCAATAGATTCTCTTCTGTAATTCAACTTTACAGTGTATGGTTTGTTTGTCTTTGACCCAGTTAGAAATAATTGGAAAGATTTTGTGGTTTGATTACCTAACATAGATATTTTATAATTACCTAATTGATCTTAAATCTTTTTTTTTTAAATCACTCAAAATAGATTGTTTACTATGTTTTCTTAAAGTATAAACTTTGCATAATTGACTTAGGGCTTCTGGTTTGACTCAGCCAAAAATAGGTAAAAGGATTTTTTCCAGAAAATTAAAAATGGCCAACATGATGTTGATCGTGTCACCCATCAAGAGCATTAAAAATCATATAAGGCCTAAGGTGCCAGTGGCGGAAAACGCGACTTTTGCTTTATTGTAAACTTTCGATAACATATTCCTGGTTTCTGTTTCTTTTTAGACACTACTTTTTTTTTCCTTTCATATAAACCAGTCTTCTTCTTCTTCGCGTTCACCAGCTGTATACTCTGGCGGAAAGTTCTGGTTGCTCGTCCAGTACTGAACTGCAGTCCTGCTCCAGAACCTGAGTGTTGCGTGTGCATCAGTTTTACAGATCTCATTCTCTTGAATACAGACTGTTGGTTCCTTGCCTCTCCGGCAGATGCACTCCGACCTCAAAGGAGGCTCCCCAATTAGTCGTCTCTTACGACATGCTTTAAGGGAGGCAGCGGGTCCATTCTTGTTTTCCCCACAATGGGGCCCCGGAACCCACACGGGGGATATAAACCAGTGTTTCCCATGTGTTGGAACAACTTGGATTATGTGATATCATTTTAAAAAAAGAAAAGAGAAAGCAACCTTTTTTTTCATTTGTATTGTGTTTTGAAAATAGATTCACTGAGGGTTTTTTTCATTTTACATTTATAATTTTTTTTTTTTAAATCGCTATTAAAAAGTATGAAGTCCATGGCAGACCTTCAAAAATCAGATGTGGTCAGTGAAATGATGAGAATACCCTGGGCAGTTCAAAAGAGTAATGTAGATGTACTGAAAGAAGCTAATTCAAAAAGATAACTGATTGCCCACATCAGACAGAGACGATCTCTATATGAGGAGAAAACTGCTGTACATCTCTCTCTTATAGGTATATTATTAATATGAGATGTATATATATTAAAATAAACATGAATGAAAGTATCTGTCATTTTGATTAAACCTGTATGCTTAACCTATAAAAGATAATAGTTTAATAGAGTAAGTGAACCCCCATCAGAGTGTGCAACCGTTTTTATAGGGAATGTAGGGGGAGATCAGCACAAAATCATTTGTAAACTGCGTACAGAAGCAGCAACTAAAAAAGTTTGCTCATTTAGAGAGAAATACCTTGTGGTGCCATACCATACAAGGCATACATGAAAAGAAGAGAAGGGCGTAGAGCACAAGGTAGACCAAGAACAAGATGGAAAGATAAGACGAGAGAAACTCTACAGGAGTTCAATGTGTGGGGTCAAGGTGGCCAGAAGAGCAGGAACTAGAACCTCGTATAAACAGAGCGGTATAGGAATAAGTGAAGAAGAAGAAGTTTTATGAATTTATAAATCTGTTATGAAATATTTTGTTGCAAAAATGTGTATATGCCCAAATCTCTTAGAAAATATTTCATGTGTTAATTTTATTATGTATGTACACATAAATTTCTAGAAGATATTTTGCTTTGTATTCTTCAGGCTTACAATCTGGGCACTGGTGTAGGTTATTCTGTGTTAGATATGGTGAAAGCATTTGAGAAGGCATCTGGCAAATCTGTGAGTATTGAAATAACCTGTTTATTTGTTAATTTTTTTTTTAAAATTAATATTGTAAAGTAAGGAACCTATTTCCATGCCTTGATGCCCCTTTGCTGTATGCTTAACCCCCCCCCCCCCCCCCCCCCCCCCCACTCCTTTTGGGGGGGGGGGGGTATAAACCAGTCTACCATAAAGAGTTGGTAAGGTTAATGACATCAGCTGCCTTTCTTTTCCCACGTTTTAGGGACTTATTTTAACCTGGGTTGATCTGTGAGCTTTCTGTAGATTTGTTCATGATTGATTGGATGTTGCTGCCTAATCCTGCCCTCTTCTCCCTAGAGAAGTCACATACCTGGGACTTCCAGTTGGTGCTCTTGTCCCTTCAGAGCTGCTTTCCCAGCTTTCCATGGTGGGCTTATTTTACCAGAAAGCAAAGCTAATTGAATTGATTCCTTTTGCACCTGGCTGACATTAAGCAGGAGTGGAAATTGATATATTTACTAAAAATAGCATTTAGAGGGGATTTCCTTGTGAAACACATTTCTTTATTTATAGAAATTCTGACCCATTTGTCATAGGGTTATGGGGTGACTGGGTCACGGGGTAAAGTAATTGTCACACTATACTTTTTGTTTGTTCAGGCTCAGATTTTGGGGTCCACCAATTCTCTTCTTCTTCTGCATTCGTTGGTCTATGTAAATTGATTTGTGTGTGGAAAGTGTTTCATGTTTTTTTTTTTCAAAGGCATTTTTTTAATGCTGTTTGGACTGTATTTGTGTCACTTAGCAGTTACACAAGACATTTAAAATGCCCATTCTTAGTTATTTATTTTATTTATTGATAGTAGGTTTTTAGTAACTTTTTGAACCCCTGTATATGTGTGCAGGCATTATTGGCAGGGCATATTGGTTAAAGCAGACATTATTAAAATATTGATGTAATTGTAAGGAAACCACAGTAATATAATGTCCGTGTGAAGGTTACTTATTATAACTTTTGTATTTAGATTTTACAAACTCCTACAAAAGGATGCTGCTTGGCAAATATTTTATAATGGTTGTGTGTTACATTTAACAGATCCCCTACAAAGTAGCACCTCGCCGTGCTGGAGATATAGCTTCAGTTTATGCCAACCCAGAGAAAGCTGAGAAGGAACTGGGATGGAAAACCACATTAGGCCTTGATGAGATGTGTAAGTGTTTTATTTTTTATTTTTCTTTGTAAGGCTTGATATTCTTTCGGGATGTGACATAGCTTTAGATATTGGAAACTGTTGTACAGTCAGCAGACCCAGTGTTGAGATCTGTAATTAGAATAACCATGTTTTTGTGGCTAAGTTCCTGATCGCTCGGATACCATCTTTAGTATTTCCCTCAGCAGCAGGTGGTAACACCAGTTCTGTGTTGGTTTACTATTCTTCTTTGACTACCTGAATAGTTTTCATGTCTGGCAACACTTCTTTTAACATGAAGTTCTTGAAGTCCTGTCAAGGCTGCCGATTTACCATCTTCTTCCAAATCATCTAATTACCTTGCTTATTTGAGAGCATTGAGAACGTACGCTCTGTCCATTGCGTGTCCTGTGCCTTCCTTGACACTGCCAGTAAGTCAATCCGCTCGTTCATTTTCTCTTACAATCCTGGCACAAAACTGAAACTGATTCCTGTGAGACGAATTTCCTCAGAAACTCTAGCCATTGTCTTTGAACCGATCCTGTCTCAATCTTCCACCTATTGGAATCAGTTAGAAAGCTTTGTGTTACCTGTGATGGTATACTGCTGGCTCGAAGTTCTGTTTGAATCTGCATCTGGGCAGTTTTTTCAATAGTACTCCCAGGGTGAGCCCACTGAAGATGGTTACACGTTTCCTGGGAAGTAAAGGTGGCCTGCGTAATGTTGACCACATTAACCCTTGAGACCCTGTGGGTCTAGCATCTTGGTATGGAAAGGGTCCTTTACATTTAAGATGGTCTTGGAGACGATGATGTTCAACAGTTTGACATCATAGCATGACCCAAAAAATGTATGTGCTGTCTCCACAATAAAGGTTGATTCCAATGTACACATTGGCACTTGCAGAGACAGAAGGATACAAATGGAAAGATTTATTTGCCACATGATGAATCAAACATGCCATTTCCAAATAATAATTTTTACAGCAGAAACAAGTGTACATTGGTGCATGGTTAGCTAGTAACCCTAAGAAAAGGCTGTGTCATTAACCAGGCGGCATGCACCTGAACAAATCAATTAGTCATATATTGTTGTTTTTTTTATAAGTTTTTTGTTGTTGTTCCAGCTTGTGATTTATAATTATGGTGCTCTAAATATCACATTGTCATGAAGAAGACCGAGAAGACTATGGAGAGATAATATACAGATCCACAAACACTTGGAGTCACCACCATCTGGAAGGAGGAGGCCAGTCGCAGGAATGAATGGAGGCAGGAATAAACCTCAATACCTCAAAAGGCTGAAGGAAAAAAGAAAATATCAGACTGTGAGATTTAATCATTAAAGTTAAAATTACAACATCTGAAATGAGATTCCTCTGAAGGGCTCTTAATATACCACAAAGAGAGAAGATTAGAAACAATGAAAGGCGAAGGAACATGAGGATAGTGGCAGCTTTGGATTTTATATGAAAGCAGCAAGTAAAATAGTGTGGTTATGTAACCTGGATGTGAATTAACAGTATTCCACAGTAAACAGTGATGTACACACCGGGTTGGAAGTGAAGAAGAGGTCAAAATTGCAAAAAGTGGACAGGAAAATTTCCTGGGAAGCATATTTTACAAATCGCACTAATCGGCACTTTCCTGCAAATTATGCCTCACATCGACACCACAAGCTGAATGATCAAGCTGAGGCGAGATATTAAATCATTAAATTTTTGTATCAGACTCTCACTCACTCAAAATCATCTTGATTATACATTTCAGGTGAAGATCTGTGGAGATGGCAGTCCAACAACCCTTACGGCTACGAAACATCAAGCTAGTCTAGTTTGTTTATACTGGGCTTCTGGAGGAATGTTTACTGCACAATAATTGTTGCCTGCATGCAAAAGATAGTTGTTCATGTTTAATAAGATTATGGGTATAATAATATGTGAATAGTAAATGTTTACTTCAATCATAGTGTTGGAATCTGAATTCACCCTCTGCATCCTCCAGTTCATTTTTAGATCCCATGTCATATAGTTCAAACTATAGGTAGGTATAATGTGTTCATTGGAAATCAGTTAAGTTTGTTTGGCAATGCTTTCGCTGCAACTTTCTTGAGAGAACAAAGAACAAGTGGGCATTACACATTGGGATTCGTTAATCTCATGATGGTACAGTAAACCTTTAAGTCGCAGCCAAGAGGAGACAAACTGATTGATCATTGTACTATAGACATTTAGGTCCACTGTCAGCATAGCAGGAACTAGTCCATCTAGTCAGAGGTGTTTTTTTTTGGCACCAGTTACTTGCTTTATATAGAAGCCTTGGGCACGATCAAGTTCATTCAGTCACAGAAATGGAAATTCATTTTTGTATGCCGAATTTCATTTAAGGTGTCTATCAAAAAGCCACCAGTTGTATCAGACTCACTTAAAGTGACTATTGGTCAAGTCCAGATTAATTAAAATATGTATTCCATTCCAGTATATCCTCAAATTACTTCTGCAATGAAATTTTATTTTATTTTTTAAGTTAGTCTGAAGCGAATTTATTTCAAATGAGAAACAGTCATGACCCAGATTTACTGCATTAGCTTGAGGAAAAGGACGTTTTCAAGATGTTTCAAAGTAAACTTGATCAGAGATAATGTTTCAAATTCAGGTCAACTGTTTAATACCCACATAGCAAATATTTCACTCTTTCAGCACCAGATTGTTACTTTAACAGTGTCCATCTCAGAGTTTATGTACTTTTGAGAAATAGCCTTTAAGTCTCGGTGATGTAAAATTGTAAAAATGCAGAGCTGGCTGAGATTAATTTCTAAAACAAAGTTAGTTGCGTATCCTTTACATGATATTGCAGAACCAACCACAGCATTTTTTTTTTTGCTGTTGTGGTGTTTTTTTTTGTGGCAAATTTTATGTTCACTAGTTTGCTGAGATTAAATAGCCACTGAAAATTGTAGAACTGGCTGAGATTAAGTAGCCACTGAAAATTGTAGAACTGGCTGAGATTAAGTAGCCACTAGTAGAAGGGATGAACATTTCACAAAAACTAGACAGTAAAAGTTAGCCAAAGTACACTGTGTGTAATCAGAAATTGTTTCCTAGGAATTATTATCAGAATGGTGTGGAGTTCATTGGTGGAATATGGCATGAAATATAGTGTGGAGTTCATTGGTGGAATATGGTATGAAATATAGTGGAGTTCATTGGTGGAATGTGGCACCGAATATGATGTGGAGTTCATTATATCATAATAATCAGTAATTGCCTGGTACTGAAAGAGTTGGCAATATTGAGTTTTTCAGCCAAGATCTGTGTTTTAATTGTTAGAAATGGTGTATTGGAGAATATATATGTTTTGATAAAGTCAGAAAAGTATTGGTTTACCTTATCTAGTGCTTGATTCTGCAGTCTGCTGTCTTTAATTTGTTACAATAAGATTAAGTACCACATCTTGAGAAACTGCAAATGATTTGATCAGACACGGGGGTGCATGTGATAAAGACATTTTTCTCATGTTTGCCTGGAGATGTTTATTTTTGGCAAGTGATTCATTGATTCTAAAAGGATGTAAATATTTACTTAAGAAATTGTAGTGAAATTGCATCAGAAATTGTAGAACGTAATTGTTTCAAATGTTGCTGATGTTAATAAATAATTTTTGTTGTTGCTTTTTCCCCACATTGGTACTTAAAATAATGGCTGTTGTTATTGCATTGATCCCTTTTTTTTTCAACAGACATCACAAAACAAAATTTTGATTTTATGTGTTTCTGAAATGCAAACCTTGTGCGATTTCTCATAATATATTTTGAACTTTTACTTTCTCTTCATGGCGTTTGTCTAATTTTGCGATCGGTTATTGCACCTTTCAAGTTTTTTTCTTACGGACTACTAGAAGTTTAGTAAAGTGTCTGTATTGCTATTTTCTAAAAATTGTGGATTAAATTTCTTCAAACTTCACAACTCCACCTTCCTTTCCCAGATGCAGGTGTTCCTTCTTCTTCGCTTTGACTGGCTGTAAAATTTTCCTTCAGACTTTTTTCGTGCATTTCCATTTTACAGATCTGGTATACTTGTGTGCAACACTGTTGGTTCTTAGTCGTTCAGGTAGCTGCACTCTGACTTTGGAGGAACAATCCATAATTAGTTGCCTTTCACAATATGCTTGTTAGTGAGACAGTGGGGCAATTCTTTCCCCCCTCTAGAATAGGGCCTCTGAAAAGTGATGGATCTGATTCCAAACTCCACCTTCATTTCCCAAATGTAGGTGTTTTATTGTTGAAGCTGCAGTTGAATGCCCTGTGAGATGCTGCCTGTAGATGAATTGCCATTCTACACAAAGAGATCCAGTCATATGGGATCGTATCCAATGCATCCCCCATGTGGATTCTGGGGGGCCCATTTTTGAGGTAAATTGAATATACCCACCCTACCCTGACAAGTATGTGGTGTAAGGCAAATAACTAGCTTTTGCCGATACTGGGTGTGTTGTGCTGAAAGGCACGGGTTTGACAGATTAGTTGTAAACCACAATACAATGTCTTGCATGCCCTTTTAACAGTAAATGTAGAAAAAAAGAAACCCAGTGCTGTGAAGTTGTTTTCTCTTCTCAAACACCCCTATTTATGTTCAATTTCTTGGGTTTATTGTAATTATTTTATGTAATTTTGTAGTGAATATTTTGTGTAGCTTGTGACTTTATAGTGCTCTTTATTTTGATGTTTACTGAAAAATATTTGTGAAATTTAGTTTCTAATGGTAGTGCAAGAAATAAAGCATATGTTATATGTGTGTATGCATTAGGATAAAATACGCAGTCTTTATATTTATAGATGTCTTGTATGTAGGTAACAGATTTTATACTATGTTACATACATTATAATTAGTTCATTGTGCTAATATAATACTTGCATAATTATTTATTCACTTATGTGAAAAAAAAGGAGAAAAGATTTTATTGTTAGCATTGTTGACACAAAAGAGTTGAATCGGAGTAGACCATAAGGTAGACAAAGACAATTGTGGAGAGATAATATACATGCAGACCTCCAGCCACTTGGAGTCATCAGCTGGAAAGAGATGGCCAGTCACAGAGATGATTGGAGGCTGGTGATAGCTGCAGCAACGAATCTCACAGGCTCAGAATGGTAGAGAAGAGATTGTTGTCACAGACACTGTTTATTCAATGTAGTTTATCTGTAGCTTGTAACGCCAGCAAATATAATTTATAATGAAACAGTAGCTTCTTCTTTCTTCTTCTGCTTCTTTTTCTTCTTCTTCTGTTCGCTTGAAATAGATTATCTATATCTGCATTGTTGTCTCTAGTATGAACTTTACAGTCTTACGTAATTCACTCAGAGACAGTAGCGACAGATTTAATAATTTTGATTCTTGTAAATTGTCTGTAGTTTATTTGTTGGCAAATTTATCTAACTCACATTTTAAAACGAGATAAAATCAACATATTCAACCAACCAGTTAACATTTGTGTAGTATTTTTTTTCTACAATGGGTGATCACAAACAAGACAGAATAACACCTTGAATCGGTTTACAGTATTTGTATAATTTCATGTATCTACTATTCTACGTTATGTGAACACATTTAATTAAAAGTTTAAAAAATGAGATAAAATTAAGAGATTTATTGGTTAACAGTGTTTATATAAATTTACTGAGTAACAGTGTATAAACTAACCAGTTTACGTTTCTATAATTTAACTGGTTAATGATGTTTTTAGAATGTTATTTATCTACACAATGTGATCACATTTTTCAAAACGAGATAAAAACAAACAGATTTAATTGGTTCACCACATTTGTATAATGTTACGTGATCACTATTAATCAAGTCAGATGTGTTGTTCTATTTTGGTAATTGTTCTGCCTGGGTTCTATACAGTTGGATATTGGTTGACGTTAGCATAATAATGATAAATGCATAATCATTTGAGAATTATTTTCTTTTGTCATATGTGAAAATGGTAATTATTTCTTTACTATCCCCAATAGTTAATTTTTTGGAATTGATGGTTGCTGCAATATTTGTGTGTTCCCTGATTTCTTACAAAAGACGGATTTAATCTCCTTGTTCCCACTTTTGTCGGGTAAAACAAGATAGGGTGTGGAAGGTTGCTTTCATTTATTTTAGTGCATTTCATATCATATCATCATCATCAGGTGCCTTGACATGGGCGATCATGCCTCTCTACAATCTGCGATTTCCTGCAGCATGTATCAGTTTGTGTGCTGACACATCATATACAAGTTGAGAAAATGGCTTATGTACATAAACCTAATTTCGTGATGCCTTGTATGCAGTATTACATTCTGCCACAGATGATAACCACTCACAAGTCAGAAACTTTTAAATATCCTTTGTGTATTTGAATATATTGTGTGTATTTCATAATATTCCTTTTCTTCTGAAACACATGTCAAATTAAACTGCATTTCAGTAAGAGTTATTTCCACTTCGTTTTAGATGGGGGCAACATTCTTCTTTTTTTTATTTTTTTTATTAGGGATATATATATAAAGTCCATCTTCTGCAGACGCATCTGTGGTCCTCACCATGCAGTGTTGCAGGTCACAGCGGGCTGGTGTAGCTGTTATAAGTGCTCTGATTTTAACTTCTTTAGAGTTTTGACAGTATGTTTGGGACTTACCTTGTTAGTTTGCCAACCAAATGGTAACTTGTTTTAATCTCAGGGTGGTTAACCAATAGAATCGATCAGAAATGCATTTGCAAGGAAACTTTTTACTCTTGAAAATTATCATGCATGCAATATCTTTGTGGGCAGTTATGATGTTGTTTGTAAGTCATTT